TTAAGTTTCCTGTCATACTAAGCACCAGTTTCTGCAAACAGTGACAAAAATTGTGTATGTGGGAACCAGAGCTGAGGCTGACAGAATGGAACAGATAAGTAAAATAGCCCGTGTATAATCTAAGCGACTTTGTAAAATGGAGGCGTCATTTTGGGAGCGTGAGATGCAGCAGTGTGTTGAGGGTTGTCTGGTGGGCGGGACCCAGCCTGGGTGGAAGGGCAGGGCCAGGTGGAGTGGCTGCCCCTTGACTGTAGCTGGTGGTCCTGGAGTGTGGTGCGTGTGCTGCCTACGCGGGCCATGCTGGGATCTAGTCCGACCCGTTTCTGCCACTGCCACTGGGGCGTGCTTGGCTGGTTTCCTTAATGCGCACACACCTGAACCTGCAGACCAAGCCCGTGGACCCGACCGTGGAGGGGGGCGCACAGGTGCAGCAGGTGGTCAACATAGAGTGCGTGTCCGACTTCACAGAGGCGCCGGTCCTCAGCATTCAGTTCAGGTCAGAGCGTGTGCGCTCGGGGCCAAGGAGTGTGTGCGGGCGCTTGGGCTCCAGCGGCCCCCACTATGCCCCCACTATGCCCCCACTGCATCCTTCCTGAGGGGACCCAGGGCCTACGGGTGTGGCCTGAGCTGCTGCTGCCCCCAGCTCTGCAGAGTGCAGGAAACCAGGGGAGGCGAAGCCCCAGGCTCCGGGACGGCAGGCAGCACCCAAACGGGGCCTGCTAGGATCTTCATGGGCACTATGGGGCCCACCTCATGGGGTGGCAGACAGCCAGGGCCCCCGAGCCACCTCCCTGGCTTGGTGCCAGGTGACAGCCGCAGGGCCAGGGCAGCTGGTTTCCTTCGGACACTGGCCTTGGGGGTGCGTTTTTCTGCAGTAGAGCTCAGATCATACCACTCTGCTTATTTTTTAAAACGTAGGATTTTTGTGTTTCGACTGTTTGCTACTTCCCCTTTACAGTGACTACAATAGAGCGTATACGGGCAGCCTGTCCCCTGCCAGGTGTCTGCAAAGTTAGGAATGTTTAGAAAAGCACACTTCAATTATTTTTTTTGAGACAGGGTCTTGCCCTATCACCAGGCTGGAGTGCAGTGGCGCCATCTCGGCTCACCACAACCTCTGCCTCCCGGGTTCAAGCAATTCTCCTGCCTCAGCCTCCCGAGGAGCTGGGATTACTGGCATGAGCCACCATGCCTGGCTAATTTTTTTTTGTTTTTTTAGTAGAGACAGGGTTTTTCCGTGTTGGTCAGGCTGGTCTCGAACTCCTGACCTCAGGTGATCTGCCTGCCTCCGTCTCCCAGAGTGCTGGGATTACAGGTGTAAACAACCGCGCCCGGCTTAGAAAAGCACACTTTCTAACATTAAAAATACAGAGAACCTAAGATTGTTTACTGTAAAATTTGGAGACATAGACATGCAAAGTTTTGTTTTATTTGTGCGAATGCCTTTGTGTTTTCAAAGAAAAAGAAATCACACTGTTTACACAGACTTGGAATTTTGGGAAACAGATTACTGGGGAGAAGTGAGGCACTGGGGTGTCCTGCCTTTGTGCACGGCCCTGGCCTGCCCTCCTGCCTGTGGGCGACACTGGACACCGAGCTACCTCGGCCCCCCTCTGGTGGGTGGCGATGGGTGGGCACACCTCACCCAGGCCGTTTCCGGCCCCTGAGGCTCTCGGAGGAGGAGCTGACTGTCTCTTTCTGCTGCTGCTGCTTGCAGGTATGGGGGCACCTTCCAGAATGTTTCTGTGCAGCTGCCCATCACGCTCAACAAGTTCTTCCAGCCCACAGAAATGGCTTCTCAGGATTTCTTTCAACGTTGGAAGCAGTTGAGCAAGTGAGAACCTGTTTTCCTGTAGGGTCAGGGTGGGGGCGGGGGATCATTTGAACAGGTGGGCTTTGGTCTCTGGCCTGGCTGAGAACACTGGCCTTGGTTGCTGTTTCTCAGTCCACAACAGGAAGTCCAGAACATCTTCAAGGCGAAGCACCCCATGGACACAGAGGTCACCAAAGCCAAGGTAGTGCGTCTTGAGGGGCCTTGGGGGACGTGGGACACGCACCTGCGATGGGCGCCGGCCCTTACCCTCCTGTTTGTTCGGACAGATCATTGGATTCGGTTCTGCACTTCTAGAAGAAGTTGATCCCAATCCTGCGAATTTCGTGGGAGCCGGAATCATACACACGAAAACCACCCAGATTGGATGCCTGCTGCGCCTGGAGCCGAACCTGCAAGCCCAGGTCAGGCCCTGGGGAAATGGCTGAGCACGCTCGAGTGGATTCTGACAGTTCTCATGGTGACACGTAGCTCTCCAGTGCAGTTCCGGCAGCTGCGACAGATGTGTGCCCATCCAGCCCTACCCTGTCAGTATGTGATCAGGTCCCAGCCTCACCACAGCCGGCCCCGGGGAGCCTCGTCCCACCACGGAGCAGCCTGGGCCTGGGCTGTGGCTCTCCCAGCTGCCACGTGCGTCGGAAGCTCTTCCTCTGGGTGACTGCCTCATCCTGTCTGTCCACGTCCTGTTCTGTCGATGGACGCCTGTCTGCGTTTCACTCGGGCAGCACCCAGGAGTGTTTGTGCTTAGCGCTGCCAAAGCTGCCCCCCAGCTTCCCCAGGTGGCCGCACACTGCACATTCCCGCCAGCTGCGTGTGAGGCACCAGGTGCTGCCAAGCCAGCCCGCAGTTCTGTGCCGACTGTTGTGTGGTGCTTAGGCCTCTGCTGAGCTGTGGGTGCCTCCAGCGCACGTTCCCTGGGTGTGGCCCACAGGGTTCCCGCATGGCAGGGCTGGACCTGCGGGCCTGTGAGCCCCGGCGTGCCTGCTGACCCGCTGTCCTGCTGTGCTCTGTTTCAGATGTACCGGCTCACGCTGCGGACGAGTAAGGAAGCCGTTTCCCAGAGATTGTGTGAATTGCTGTCGGCGCAGTTCTAGTGGCAAGGAGGGAAGGCCAGGCTCGTGTGTCTTGCGTTTCCTTCGTCTGTGCTGTCTGTCTTCCTGGCCGTCCTGCAGATGGGCGCCTCGTGTCCAGCATCATAGCACATGGCGCCCCCCCGCCCCGCTGCACCGGACCCCCCCCCCCGGGCTGGACAGGAACACGCGTGTGTGGCTCAGGAGAAAAGCTCAGCCTGGACTGTGGCAGCCACGGCAGAAGGTGGATTTTGGGATCAGTTTTTATAAAAATCAAGACAGTTCTGTGGTTAAATCTACAAATTAAAGGGAAATTAGAAGTTGACGTGAACGTGGCGTTTGTGGGAGTGTTGCTGAGCTGCCCCATGTTGCCTCCCACCTGCCTCGGAGCCTTTGGAAGCAGCAGCACGGCTGCACATCGCAGGGGCCGCACCTCAGTGTGGCCGTCCTGGTGGCTGTGCGCCTGGCATCGTCCTGGGCTCTTGGGAGGAGCACGGCCGCCCCGGGTTTGCCGCAACCCCAGCTAGACAGTCTTCCTGGTTGGGATTTTGATCTAGAATATAGAAACATTTGTATTTGCAATGACTTCTGGCAAAACCACATGTCCTGGTGGAATGTCATGGTTTTCCTGTCCCAGCTCCTGGTCGGGAAGGGCATCTGTCACGCTCCTGCAGTTGCTGGGGCCTCAGACGTGCAGCGGGGGGAGGAGCATCCTGCTGGCCCCACGAGGCGTGCTCGCCACCTGCCTTCGGGCTCCGATGAGTGCCCTGGCCCCTCGGGGCCCCCAGGACTCCAGGGTAAAGCGTGGGCTGTGGTGCAAGACTCTCTCTCCTGTCAGAGTGGGCGTCCCCAGGCCACGGTGCAGGCCTGAGTGCTTCCAGTGGTCTGTCCAGTGGTCCTGGTGGGAAGCCTCTGCGTGGTCAGGAAGTGAAGGGGCCGCTGGCCGCGAGCCTGTGTGCCACCCACGGCTTGGCTCTCACCCATCATCTGGACTCAGCACCCAGGCTGCACATCTGACCCTCAGAGGCGAGAGAGTGGGGCCGGCTGCGGAGCCATGGCTGGGGCCCTGCGCTCTGTCCCCGGGACGGGGGCCTTGTCTGTCCTAAACACGCCCAGCACTGGTTCCTGTTTCTTGACGTGCTGCGGAGGTGACACACCTGCGTGAGGCTTTTACCCTGGCTGTCAGCCTCCTGCTGTGCGGGTCCTGGGGCGGCTGCAGGGGCTCTCGGACCTCTCGGTCCCCACACCTCCATGCAGTGATGTGGCCTGTGGTGTCTGCTCTCCTGGTGTGTTGGACTTTGATCACAGGGTAGCCATGTCAGTGACGTGCACCCCTCACACTGGCCACTCTGGGTCCTGCGGTGCCAGGTGTGACTCACGCAGTGCTGGGCTTGTGCTGCAGTTGGCGGCGTGGGCCTCGGTCTGGTGTCCCAGCTGCTGGGCGGTGCTCTGCTGTGGGCGGCACCTGCAGGCCGTGTGTGCTGCCATCCGTCTTCCGTGTCCCTTAACCCCTCCCATGATTGGAGGAAAGGCTGCTCCCCGAGGCACCGCTTCCCTATGGGGCGATGCAGAGGGCCCCTTGGTGTGGCCTTCCTCATTAAAGAAAAAGGCTAGAACAGTGCCCGGATTGTGGACGGTCTTTGGGGGAAGCACCCCACGTAACCCTGTAGCTCCCCGGGGCCATGAGGCGCGGTCCTTGAGGTCCCCACTGTGTTGGAGGTGGGCCTGTCCTTTGGCGCGTGACGTGCCCTTGGCTCTGCCCATTTGATTTTGGGTGTGTGGTGGAGCTTTTGGGGACTTAGGTCCTGTGGGAACCCCTTCAGCCTGGCCTCGGGGCTCCCGCTGTGCAGTGTGTTGGGGTGCTGGCAGGGCTCCCTCCCATTCTTGGCAGAATGGGCCTGCCAAGCTGCACGTGGGTGTGAGGGGGCCCCACGTGGGATCTCCTGGTCGATCCCACCACAGATGGGGCAGAGGGGTCCGTGGGCAGATGGGGGTGGTCCCCGGGGGACGGTGGCTTTGCCGGAGATGGGACAGTCCTGGTGCAGGGAGGGGAGGGCCCGGGGCCAGAACCAGCTTCGCTTCTCAGCCCAGCCCCAGAGCGCAGGGCCCACAGGGTGCAGGTGTGGGGTGGGTGCCTCAGGTCGAAGGGGCTGGGGAGAGGCAAAAGCAGTGCTCAGGGACCAGTCTCTGTGCCTTGATAAGAACCAGTTTATTTGGAGTCTCTGGCCAGGTGACGCTGTCTTCCCAGGAGAAGCTGCTGAGGACGGTGCGGTGCTGGTGGGGAGGGAGCTCCTGGCTGGCTGGGAGCGGGGGTGGCTTCCCTACCTTCCCTGCCACTCTCTGTCCTCCCTGACCCTGGGAGGCCCCTTCTCTGGGCCGGTGCCTGCCTGGGTCTCTTGCCCCCAGCTCTTTGCAGGTTCCCATGTTGTCCCCGCCCCCAATGGGTCTGGCCCAGCACCTGCTTCGCAGCCTCATCTGCAGCGTTCTGGGCCCAGCAGGGCTGGGGTCCAGCTCAGAGGCTGGGAGGTGTTGGACAGCAGACAGGGGTGGTTGGGAGTGCCCCGTGTGCCTGGGAGGGTCCGTGGCCACTGCCCACCTCAGTCCCGCTCAGCTGGGTCAGGGTCTGCAGGAGTGTGGTGGTCTGAGCCTCCGCTTGGCAGCCTCTCTCCCACCAGTGTCTCAGGTGAGCCACGGCCGAGGGCTCTTGGGGGCCAGGGCTGGTAACCAGGGACGCAGCTGCCGGCACGAGTGGGAAGGGGCCGGTGGGAGGGGTTGTCCTTCTCTGTCATCTGCAGCCGTTCACTCCCAGGAGACCAGGCAGTGACCCTGCTAGTGTCCACAGCTCACAGAGCTGCACACGCAACGGCTGAACACCTGCAGGGTGAGCACGAGCCGCCGGCCAGGCGCGCTGGGGTCTGGGCAGGGCAGCTCGAGCTGCTGCTCGTGGGAATGGAGCGGGCGGCAGCAGCTGCAGCGGGCATCCAGCTGCTGGATGTCGATGTTGAAGCTGCCGAAAAGCCAAGACAGAGCAGGGGTTGTGGCTGCTGCAGGGGCGTGCCTGCGCCCAGAAAGCCCCTCCCTCCCCAGGCCAGCTGGTCCAGAAAGGCCTGGACCTCCCTGCTGACCTCCTGGTCCCAGGGGCCAGGGCAGGCAGTGGGCAGCTGAAGCGCCAAGTGGCTGACCTGACTGGGTAGCAGGTGCCTGTGTGGGAGCCCCTGCCCTGCCCTGGCGCCTCTCTGGGTGGGGTTGTGAACGTTGCTGGCCGTGGGGTGGCCTTGCCTCGTGGACTCACCTGGCAGAGGAAATGCAGACGCCCTCACAGCGGGTCATCGTCACGTTGGCCACACAGCCCTTGAACGTGATCTCCTCCTGCTGCTCCTGCACGCTGCAGACCCCTGGGAGCAGAGTTGGACAGTCAGCAGCGCCCAGCGTGGCATGGAGCGAGGAGGGAGGGGGTCCCTGGCTGGGGACCACATCCCCACCTGCCTCTGAACCTTCCTGCCCAAGGCGTGGCCTCCCCTGGTGGAGCCCTGTAGAGCTTAGATCTCAGCCATGGACAGAGGCGAAGGCCTGCAGCCCCCTGCTTTGTTTTTCCCTCAAAGTCGCGATGCTGGAGTCCGTCAAGGTAGAGAATGTTCTCAGAGGACTCAGCAGGTACTGAGCCCTGGCCTGTGTGAGCCACCCGGGGAGCCCAGCTTCCCTGATGCCCAATCCCAGGCCTGGACACCGACCTGTGGGCATGGGAATCTCTGGTTGGCCGGACCCAGCACCTGCAGGGGGCCGAGGACACGATGTCAGTGACCCCAGAGGGGGACAGATGGTGTTGCGGGTGCTCCACGGGCCCCAGCCAGGGAGGAGGGAAGTGGAGCAGGCCCCATGGTCTGGGATCCTGGAAGGGGTGGGGTGGGGCCCACATGGAAGGCCCAGCCAGCCCCACTGAGAGGCCTGGGCGTGTGGCAGGCAGCATGCAGCTGGCGGGTTGATGCAGACAGTGGCAGCGTCCACATTAGAATCCGCCACTGTGGAGCTTGGGTTTAAAAGTGGAATAGAATTACTGGGCAAGGGCTGGGAGCTGCTGCCCATGTGCCCTCCCCTGGCTGTGCCCAGCTTTGTTTTCCTGGAGCCTGCCTGCCCGCGGCAGAGGGCTTTCTCCGGGAGGGGCCAGGACTCTGGGCGCCTCCACGGGCCCTGCTGTCTGCAGCCACCCTCCCCTCCCAGCTGGCTCCTGCTCCCTTACCTCTGCTTCTTGGGGTCACCTCCCTGGTAACAGCCTCCACCCAACTCCTGGTCTCAGGGAGGGACCCAAACCAGGATTCCCTCAGCCTGCAGCAAGGAACTGCCCCTCACAGGAGAGGCCACGCAGCCAGCTGTGGCATAGCTGCCTAGTGGGGGCCCACTGGGGTGGCTGCTGTGAGAGGAACACCCAGGAGGAAAGGGAGGGACATCCCTGGAACGCGGGGTGAGGTGGATGTGGACGAGGCCTGAGGTGTGCTGTGTCCCCAGGTGGGTTGGGGAGCCGTGGCCTGGGGAGCAGTGGACTCGCTCACAGACAGGAGGCCAGTTGGGGGCCAGGAGGAGCCGTGGCCGAGAATTGGTGCAAGCACCAAGGAGCAGGCGGCCCGGTCGCCACGGCCAGCTCCACCTTCAGCAGCTCCCCTGGGGCGAGGCGGGGGTTGTGTTGGGCTTTTGTCTCTCTCTCTCTCTGGACTTGGAGGGAGGGCTGTGTGGCTTGAACCCTCGGCCTCGGCCAGCCCTGACATCTCTGAGCACCCACAGGGGCAGCTGTGGAAGGCTTCTGGCAGGTGTCCCTCTGAAGGGAGGCCAGAAGTGCAGCAGGGACAGGGGAATGAGAGCCAGTGCCAGGAAAAGAAAGGTTAGCGGGGGAGGAAGACCCAATGGGGGAGGCCAGGCACTTGCTGGGTGCCTGTGAGAGGAGAGGAGAGGAGATGGGAAAGGACCCACAGCCATGTAGGGAAGGTGGGGAACAGGCATGGGGACCTGGAACCACAGGACCGTGAGGGGTAAGCTGAGGCAGGGGCTGACTGGGAGTCACCAGCACAGAGGCGGGGACAGGGGCAGGGCCACAGAGATACCACTTACTGGATGAGCTGGGCGTAGTTGTCACGAGAGAAGATACTGAGGCAGAAGCAGGGGTGCTTCCATGCGCAGTGAGGGAGCTGGTCAGGAACCGTGTGGTATGCACCGAGGTGGGACCAGGGTGCCTGGTGGTGAGGTTGGTGATGGGAGAGCTTGGGATACCTGTCACCCCCGAGGTGAGTGACACGAAGCCTGGTGTGGGAACTCGGGTGGTGAGAGAAGTGAAGTGTGAGGTGGTGGACTGAGAGGAGATGGCAGAGGCGAGGTGGGTGCTGGCCGTGGTCCTGCGCGTGGATGGAAACGCTGTGGTGCTGGATGCAGTGGGAGTGGATACGGGGAGCAGAGTGGAGAGGCTGACAGGAGGGGAAGTCGTGTGGGGGAGGGAGGCCCTGCTGGTGGTAGAGGCAGCTGGAGAAGGAGAAAGAGGAGACAAAGATGCCGATGCAGCTGGGGAACGAGTGAAAAAGGAGTGGGAGCCCGAGCTCAGAGTTGTGGAGTGCACGGGGACAGACACCACTGAAGAAGGTGAAGTCTGGGGAGAGGAGTGGGAGGAGGAAACGTGAGGAGTAACAGAAGATGGGGCAGAGGGCGGCGGGGAGGATGAGGACCAGTGCAGCTGATGAGTTGCAGAAACCGGAGTGGTTGGAGAACCCGAGTGGGGCAGTGGTGTGGTGGCAGAAGATGGTGATGGTGGCCTTGAGCTAGAGTTCTGAGGCGACCAAGAGGAGGAGGATATGAAGGAAGTAGAGCCTGTGGCTGTGCTGAATGAGCTGTGGGCGTGGCTGGTCCCACTGGTGGTGGCTGTCATTGGTGGCGCTGTGTGTGTGGATCCTGTAGCTCTGACTGTGGTCTGTGGAAGCATGGTGCCTGTGGGGGTTGAGTGGATGGAAGGGGAAGTGGACATTGGTGGGTGTGTAGTGGTGATGACCGTGTGAGTACTGGGAGTCACTGAGGAGGTGGAGAAAGGTGGAACGTGAGTGGAAAGTGTGGTCTGTGGGTGTGGTGGAGTTGAATGGATAGTGGTGGTCTTGAAGGATGTTGTAGTTATAGGACCAGTGGAAGAGATGGGACTGCCGCCTGTAGGTGGGGAGTGTGTGGTGAAGGGTGTGGGTGGCCTGTGGCTGGTGACCGAGGTGCTGTGGGCCACAGCGGTGCTGGTTCCTGTACCAGTGGACTTTGGAGTACTGGTGGTGGTAGGAGGTGGGGTGGTCTCAGGATGGTGTGTGGAGGAAGCCTGTGAGTGGAGGGATGTAGAGGTTGTGGCCGTGCTGAATGAGCTGTGGGCTTGGCCGGTCTGACTGGTGGTGGCTGTCATTGGTGGGGCTGTGTGCGTGGATCCTGTGGCTCTGACCGTTGTCTGTGGAGGCATGGTGCCTGTGGGGGTTGAGTGGATTGAGGGGGAAGTGGACATTGGTGAATGTGTAGGAGTGATGACTCTGTGAGTACTGGGAGTCACTGAGGAGGTGGAGAAAGGTGGAACATGAGTGGGAAGTGTGGTCTGAGATTGTGGTGGGGTCGGATGGGTAGTCGTGGTCTTGAAAGATGTTGTAGTTATAGGACCAGTGGAAGAGATGGCACTGCTGCCTGTAGGTGGGGAGTGTGTGGTGAAGGGTGTGGGTGGCCTGCTGCTGGTGGCCGAGGTGGTGGTGGCCACAGGGGTGCCGGTTCCTCTACTGGTGGTCTTGGGAGTAATGGTGGTGGAAGAAGTTGGGGTGATTTCAGCATGGTGTGTGGAGGAAGCCTGTGAGTGGAGGGATGTAGAGGTTGTGGCTGTGCTGAATGAGCTGTGGGCTTGGCTGGTCCCACTTGTGGTGGCCGTCATTGGTGGGGCTGTGTGTGTGGATCCTGTGGCTCTGACCGTTGTCTGTGGAGGCATGGTGCCTGTGGGGTTTGAGTGGATGGATGTGTAAGTGGACATTGGTGGGTGTGTAGTGGTGATGACTGTGTGAGTAGTGGGAGTCACTGAAGAGGTGGAGAAAGGTGGAATATGAGTGGAAAGTGTGGTGTGAGGGTGTGGTGTGGTTGGATGGGTTGTGGTCGTCTTGAAGGATGTTGTAGTCGTGGGACCAGTGGAAGAGACAGGCTTGCTCCCAGTAGGTGGGGAGTGTATGGTGAAGGGTGTGGGTGGCCCATGGCTCGTGGCCGACGTCATGTGGACTACAGGTGTGCCGGTTCCTGTACCAGTTGGCTTTGGAGTAACGGTGGTGGAAGAAGTTGGGGTGATTTCAGGACGGTGTGTGGAGGAAGTGTGTGAGTGGAGGGATGTTGGGGTTGTGGCTGTGCTGAATGAGCTGTGGGCTTGACTGATTCCACTGGTGGTCTCTGTAATTGGTAGGGCTGTGTGTGTGTCTCCTGTGGTCTTGACCATTGTCTGTGGAGGAATGGTGCCTGTGGGGGTTGAGTGGATGGATGTGGAATTGGAGATTGGTGGGTGTGTATGGGTGATAATCATGTCAGTACTGAGAGTCACTGAGGAGGTGGAGAAAGGTGGAATGTGAGTGGAAAGTGTGGTCTGAGGGTGTGTTGGAGTTCGATGGGTTGTGGTGGTCTTGAAGGATGTTGTAGTCATGGGACCAGTGGAAGAGATAGGCTTGCTCCCTGTAAGTGGGGAGTGTGTGGTGAAGGGTGTGGGTGGCCCGTGGCTCGTGGCCGAGGTCGTGTGGGCTACAGGTGAGCTGGTTCCTGTACCAGTGGCGTTTGGAGTAATGGTGGTGGAAGAAGTTGGGGTGATTTCAGGATGGTGTGTGGAGGCAGCATGTGAGTGGAGGGATGTTGGGGTTGTGGCTGTGCTGAATGAGCTGTGGCCTTGACTGATTCCACTGGTGGTCTCTGTAATTGGTAGGGCTATGTGTGTGGATCCTGTGGTCTTGACCGTTGTATGTGGAGGAATAGTGCCTGTGGGGGCTGAGTGGATGGAGGGGGAAGTGGTTATTGGTGGGTGTGTAGCGGTGATGACTGTGTGAGTACTGGGAGTCACTGAGGAGGTGGAGAAAGGAGGAACATGAGTGGAAAGTGTGGTCTGAGGGTGTGGTGGGGTTTGATGGGTAGCAGTAGTCTTGAAGGATGTTATAGTCATAGGACCAGTGGAAGAGATGGGACTCCCCTCTGTAGCTGTGGAGTGTGTGGTGAAGGGTGTGGGTGGTCCGCTGCTGCTGGCCGAGGTGGTGGTGGCCACAGGGGTGCCGGTTCCTCTACTGGTGGTCTTGGGAGTAATAGTGGTGGTAGAAGTTGGGGTGGTTTCAAGATGATGTGTGGAGGAAGCGTGTGAGTGGAGGGATATAGAGGTTGTGGCTGTGCTGAATGAGCTGTGGGCTTGGCTGGTCCCACTGGTTGTGGCTGTTATTGGTGGGGCTGTGTGTGTGGTCCCTGTGACCTTGATCGTTGTGGGTACTGGCACGGTGCCTGTGGGGGTTGAGTGAATGGAAAGGGAAGTGGACATTGGTGGGTGTGTAGTGGTGATGACCGTGTGAGTACTTAAAGTCACTGGGGAGGTGGAGAAAGGTGGAATGTGAGTGGAAAGTGTGGTATGAGGGTGTGGTGGGGTTGGATGGGTTGTGGTGGTCTTGAAGGATGTTGCAGTCATAGGACCAGTGGAAGAGACGGGCTTGCTCCCTGTAGGTGGGGAGTGTGTGGTGAAGGGTGTGGGTGGCCTTTGACTGGTGGCCGAGGTGCTGTGGGCCACAGGTGTGCCGGTTCCTGTACCAGTGGGCCTTGGAGTAATGGTGGTTGTAGGAGTTGGGGCGGTTTCTGGATAGTGTGTGGAGGAAGCGTGTGAGCTGAGGGTTGGAGATGTTGTGGCTGTGCTGAATGAGCTTTGGGCTTGGCTGGTCCCACTTGTGGTGGCCGTCATTGGTGGGGCTGTGTGTGTGGTCCCTGTGACTTTGACCGTTGTGGGTACTGGCACAGTACCTGTAGGGGTTGAGTGGATAGAGGGGAAAGTGGATATCAGTGGGTGGGTAGGAGTGATGATCTTGTGTGTACTGAGAGTCACTGAAGAGGTGGAGAAAGGTGGAACGTGAGTGGTAAGTGTGGTCTGAGGGTGTGGTGGGGTTTGATGGGTTGCGGTGGTCTCGAAGGATGTTGCAGTCATAGGACCAGTGGAAGAGATGGGTCTGCTCCCTGTAGGTGAGGAGTGTGTGGTGAAGGGTGTGGGTGGCTGGCTGCTGGTGGCTGAGGTGGTGATTGCCACAGGGGTGCCAGTTCCTCTAGTGGTGGTCTTGGGAGTAATGGTGGTGGAAGAAGTTGGGGTGGTTTCAGGATGGTGTGTGGAGGAAGCGTGTGATTGGAGGGATGTCGGGGTTGTGGCTGTGCTGAATGAGCTGTGGGCTTGGCTGGTCCCACTGGTGGTGGCCGTCATTGGTGGGGCTGTGTGTGTGGATCCTGTAACCTTGACTGTTGTGCGAACAGGCATGGTGCCTGTGGGGTTTGAGTGGATGGATGTGGAAGTGGACATTGGTGGGTGAGTAGCAGTGATGACCGTGTGAGTACTGGGAGTCACTGAAGATGTGGAGAAAGGTGGAATGTGAGTGGAAAGTGTGGTGTGAGAGTGTGCTGGAGTTGAATGGGTAGTAGTGGTCTTGAAGGATGTTGCCGTCATAGGACCAGTGGAAGAGATGGGTCTGCTCCCCGTAGGTGGGGAGTGTGTGGTGAAGGGTGTGGGTGGCCTGTGGCTGGTGGCCGAGGTGCTGTGGGTCACAGCGGTGCTGGTTCCTGTACCAGTGGGCTTTGGAATACTGGTGGTGGTAGGAGTTGGGGTGGTCTCAGGATGGTGTGTGGAGGAAGCCTGTGAGTGGAGGGATGTAGAGGTTGTGGCTGTGCTGAATGAGCTGTGGGCTTGGCTGGTCCCACTGGTGGTGGCCGTCATTGGTGGGGCTGTGTGTGTGGATCCTGTGGCTCTGACTGATGTCTGTGGAGGCACGGTGCCTGTGGAGATTGAGTGGGTGGAGGGGGAAGTGGACATTGGTGGGTGTGTGTGGGTGATGACTGTGTGAGTACTGGGAGTCACTGAGGAGGTGGAGAAAGGAGGAATGTGAGTGGGAAGAGTGGTGTGAGGGTATGGTGGGGTTGGATGGGTAGTCGTGGTCTTGAAGGATGTTGCAGTCATAGGACCAGGGGAAGAGACAGGACTGTTCTCTGTAGGTGGGGAGTGTGTGGTGAAGGGTGTGGGTGGCCTATTGCTGGTGGACGAGGTGCTGTGGGCCACAGGCGTGCTGGTTCCTGTACCAGTGGGTTTTGGAGTAATGGTGGTGGAAGAAGTTGGGGTGATTTCAGGATAGTGTGTGGAGAAACCATGTGAGTGGAAGGATGTAGAGGTTGTGGCTGTGCTGAATGAGCTTTGGGCGTGGCTGGTCCCACTGGTGGTGGCCGTCATTGGCGGGGCTGTGTGTGTGGTCCCTGTGACCTTGACCGTTGTGGGTACTGGCACGGTGCCTGTGGGGGTTGAGTGGATGGAGGGGGAAGTGGATATTGGTGGGTGGGTAGGAGTGATGATCTTGTGTGTACTTGGAGTCACTGAAGAGGTGGAGAAAGGTGGAATATGAGTGGAAAGTGTGGTCGGAGGGTGTGGTGCAGTTGGATGGGTTGTGGTGGTTTTGAAGGATGTTGCAGTCATAGGACCAATGGAAGAGATAGGTCTGCTCCCTGTAGGTGGAGAGTGTGTGGTGAAGGGTGTGGGTGGTCTGCTGCTGGTGGCCGAGGTGGTGGTGGCCACTGGGGTGCTGGTTCCTCTACTGGTGGTCTTGGGAGTAATGGTGGTGGAAGAAGTTGGGGTGGTTTCAGGATGGTGTGTGGAGATAGCGTGTGAGTGGAGGGATGTAGAGGTTGTGGCTGTGCTGAATGAGCTGTGGGCTTGGCTGGTCTCACTGGTGGTGGCTGTCATTGGTGGGGCTGTGTGGGTGGATACTGTGGCTTTGACTGTTGTGGGTACTGGTACGGTGCCTGTGGGGATTGAGTGGGTGGAGGGGGAAGTGGACATTGGTGGGTGTGTAGGGGTGATGACTGTGTGAGTACTGGGAGTCACTGAGGAGGTGGAGAAAGGTGGAACATGAGTGGGAAGTGTGGTCTGTGGGTGTGGTGGGGTTGGATGGGTAGTTGTGGTCTTGAAGGATGTTGCAGTCACAGGAGCAGTGGAAGAGGTGGGTCTGCTTCCTGTAGGTGGGGAGTGTGTGGTGAAGGGTGTGGGTGGTCTGCTGATGATGGCCGAGGTGGTGGTGGCCACAGGGGTGCCAGTTCCTCTACTGGTGGTCTTGGGAGTAATGGTGGTGGAAGAAGTTGGGGTGATTTCAGCATGGTGTGTGGAGGAAGCCTGTGAGTGGAGAGATGTAGAGGTTGTGGCTGTGCTGAATGAGCTGTGGGCTTGGCTGGTCCCACTGGTGCTGGCTGTCATTGGTGGGGCTGTTTGTGTGGATCCTGTGGCTCTGACCGATGTCTGTGGAGGCACGGTGCCTGTGGGGATTGAGTGGGTGGAGGGGGAAGTGGACATTGGTGGGTGTGTAGGGGTCATTACTGTGTGAGCACTGGGAGTCACTGAGGAGGTGGAGAAAGGAGGAACATGAGTGGAAAGTGTGGTCTCAGGGTGTGGTGGGGTCGGATGGGTAGTCATGGTCTTGAAGGATGTTGCAGTCATGGGACCAGTGGAAGAGATGGGTCTGCTTCCCGTAGGTGGGGAGTGTGTGGTGAAGGGTGTGGGTGGCCTGCTGCTGGTGGCCGAGGTGGTGGTGGCCACAGGGGTGCCGGTTCCTCTACTGGTGGTCTTGGGAGTAATGGTGGTGGAAGAAGTTGGGGTGATTTCAGCATGGTGTGTGGAGGAAGCCTGTGAGTGGAGGGATGTAGAGGTTGTGTCTGTGCTGAATGAGCTGTGGGCTTGGCTGGTCCCACTTGTGGTGGCCATCATTGGTGGGGCTGTGTGTGTGGTCCCTGTGACCTTGACCGTTGTGGGTACTGGCACGGTGCCCATGGGGGTTGAGTGGATGGAGGGGGAAGTGGATATTGGTAGGTGGGTAGGAGTGATGATCTTGTGCGTACTGGGAGTTACTGAGGAGGTGGAGAAAGGTGGTATGTGTGTGGGAAGTGTGGTGTGAGGGTGTGGTGGGGTTGGATGGGTAGCACTGGTCTTGAAGGATGCTGTAATCGTAGGGCCAGTGGAAGAGGTGGGACTGCCTCCCGTAGCTGTCGAGTGTGTGGTGTGTGGCGTTTGTGGCGTTGTGTCTTCTGTAGTTGTTCTTGTGTGCGTTGTCCTCTCTGTGGCTGTGGGCCTCGTGGGTTGCTCTGGCTGTGGGGTGGTTGGGCCTGCGGTGCTGGCTGCAGTTGGACGTGGGCCTGTTGTCCGAGTGGCCGTTGTGCCTGGCAGTTCCTGATGGGTGGATTTTGCTGTGGGAATTAGTGAAGCTGTCATCATTCTTGTCTTTGTTTCTGTACCCTGACCTCTGCTGGCCTGTTCCTTTTTCCGTGTGATGTTTCCTGGCCTGTCTCTGTCTCTGGTGCTGTGAAGTGGTCCCTCTGGATCCTTCCAGCCTGCCTGTCTCTGCCTCACCTGGACCTGCTCTGCGTCCTGCTCTCAGCTCAGTGTCATCACCCTCAGTGCAGCCTCTGCTCTGGGACTGCAGCCCGGGCCCTACTTGCTTTCACTCTGGCTCCCTGTAGCTCTGGTGGTGGCCCCTGCCCTCCTGCACCTTTACTCCACAGGTCTGCCTCTGTGGGTGCTGGTATTCCTCCCTCGCCTCTGGCTGCAGCCTGCACACTGGCGCTGCCTCCCCCTTGCCCTCTGGGAAGTACGGGGTCTCCTTTGTGGCTGAATCACTGAATGAGAGCTGGAGGTGGGACTGGGAGCCTTCAGGAGCACTGGTGTCCCATGGCACCATGACTTACCCAGCGTGGGGCTTGTCCCTGATGCTGCTGGTGTTGGTGGCGTCACTGTGGTTCGTGTCGTGGACTGAGCTGTGGACTTTGTGGCTGGGCTGGTGGTCGGTGCCGTGGCCCGGGTTGTGGCCTGGGTCACAATGGGTTTTGTGGCTGTCGACCTCAGCGTGGCTGTGGGCATCTGCCCTGATGTGGCTTGAGGGGTGATGGCCGTGGTTGGTCTCAGTGGTTCTGCAAGGACAGCCGCCCGGAACACCCCCATGCTTCGGGTCTGCATCTCTGAGTCTCATGTCCCAGCCCCCTGCCCTGTGCCTGGGGTCCCTGGCCTGCTCTCCAGGACTCAGCCTCCTTGGAGGGACTCCTCTTGCCTTTGTTAGGTCTTCCTGCTGTTCTCCTGGCTGTGGTGGCCACGGTCGGGCAGTGACCACACGCTCATGGGGCTGTCGCTGCCCCATGCCCACCCCTGCTCAGCTTGGCGGACTGTTTCCTCTCCCCTCTGGGGTCCCTGGGTGGTGGACGGGGTCCTGCTTGTTGTTGGGGGGCAGGCTGCCTGGCAGAGGCCATGCAGGTCCCACAGAATTTCCAGTGACAGCATCTGGCAGCACGGAATGGCCCCGTGCAGTAAGCAGCTCGTCTTTAAAACTTTTTCAGAAAAATCCCCGGTTTGTCTCCCAAGCATAGGAAATTCTGCCCTGAAAATCTGCTTAGCTGGGAGGCGGGGCCACATGTGCACCCACCCCAGAGGCCTGCCGAGGACCCCCTGCAGCCGCCCTTCCCACGGGCCCAGCCGGAGGCTCCTTACCTCCCGAGGAGGCCGTGGGCTTGGAGGGCGTGAGCGTGGCTGGAAGGATGGGTGTCTGGGTGGGGCCGGCAGTGGTGCTTTTGGAGCTGGGCGAGGGTCCACCAGTGGAGCTGAGGAGCCTGATGGTGGTGGCGGTTCCCGTCGTGGGCCAGACTTGCGTGGGCCGTGAGCCTGAGTGGGGCAGACCTGCCATCAGGGCTGCAGGGCACCAGCGCATCTTTGGGGAGCAGCCTCCCCGCTGTCTGCTGGGTCCTGAAGCCGGGGAGCCCCACAGAGGCCAATGTGCTGGGCACGCGGTTCAGGCTGTTCTGTGGCCTCTGAGTGCAGCGTGCCTCCTGGCTGGGCCTTCTGCATGGCCAGGGTCACCACTGTGTGCTCACCTGTGGGTCCAGCCAGGGCCATGGGGACTGGGCTGGCTGTGGGCTGAGCTCCCCCCGCCACCCCGCTCGGATTGCCAGGTTAGACCTGGGAAGGGCACAGTGCTCCCTGCCCCCTCCCTGCTTCCCACTCTGCAGATTTGTCCAGGGAGCCAGGGGGAGCCCAGGAAAGGGCCTGCATCACCTTGGCACCTAGTGTGCGTGCAATCACCTGTGGTGGGCGGCTGCGGCGTGCTGGGTGGCACTGCAAGAAGAGGGGGGTCAGCTCCCTGTGGCACTCGTGGCCTCCCCACCCTGTGGGGCCTCCGGGAGCTCCGAGGGCCTGAGTCCGAGACGCTCGCCAAGGCCGGGGTGGAGGGGATGGGAGGGGCTGGGAGCACCCCTTCGTCCTCTGTCCCCTTCCTTCCGCTTCCCAGGACGATTCCCACTCTCTACCCCAGGCACTCTGCAGGCCTGGTGAGGGTAAGGGGAACTGGGGGACTGGTGGAAGAGGGGACGGGAGGGCCCAATTGGGTTCAATACCGTGACTTTTCCTCTGTCTGCTCCATGGGCTGGGGCTGCCTGAGCCTCTGGGAGTTGCTGGGATTCTCAGCACCCCAAGGGGCCAGGGTTCCAGGCAGTAGAGTCCCAAAGCTCACGTAAAGGCTCAGAGCCCCAGGGCCCTCTGCCTTGCTTGTGAGGTGTAGATATACTTCCTGCCTGTGTGCAGGGGTTCTCAGGGCAGCAGACTGGACTTACTGCATGGCATGCACACGCCCTCCTCGTGGTCGAAGTACTCATCCTGGGAGCAGTTGTAGCAGCCTAGGGTGGAGAACGGCGGGGCTCCGTGTGACCTGTGGCCAGCCAGGCCCACCTGCGTGTTTCCTTTCTCTCTGCCTTTTTTGTTTGTTTTCTTCTGAGACGGAGTCTCGCTCCGTCGCCCAGGCTGGACTGCAGTGGCGTGATCTCAGCTCACTGCAACCTCCGCCTCCTGGGTTTGAGTGATTCTCCTGCCTCAGCCTCCTGAGTAGCTGGGATTACAGGCATTTGCCATGACGCCCAGCTAATTTTTGTAGTTTTAGTAGTGATGGGGCTTTGCCATGTTGGCCAGGCTGGTCTTGAACTCCTGACCTCAGGTGATCTGCCTGCCTCGGCCTCCCAGAGTACTGGGATGACAGCTTCAGCCCTTGCACCTTGCTCTAAGCCACCCCTTTCGCGCCACGCGTCCCTCAGGCCTTGGTCCCTCACCCCTGCTCATCACCCAGGGCAGGGGCTTCAGAGCTGTCTTCTGGCCCTGCCTCCCCCTGGACCTCAGACACCTGCCCCTCTCCTGTGCTCCGTGGGGCCTGGACGTGCTGCCCGATGTAGGGGCCCTGCGCTGCCCTCCTGAGCCCAGCACGTCTGCCCCTGCCCATCTGGATGGCTCCAGACACCACGTTCCTCCGCCAAGTGCGTGGGCCGGCGCCTGTGAATCCCAGGACCGTCTGTGCTCAACCTCTGCCTTGGGGCAGCCACAGGCCTCACAGAGACCCCGGCATCCCGGCCACACCCCACCCCACACCCCTCTGCACCCCACACCCCTCTGCAGCCGCCTGCCCCTCCCTCGGTTGCTCTGCCCGCTGCCGTGGCTTTCTCAAGGGCCCCAGCAGCTCCTCTGGACACCCTCCTGGCTCCCCCGCCACCTTTCCCATCCTCACCCACACATCTGCCTCCCACCAAGGGACCCAACCGCCCTGTGTGGCACACGGAAGCCCGTGGCTCGCTCAACCCCAGCCTCCCTCCCCCATCCTGTGGTGGGTGCCTCAGCTGACACTGGGTCTGCCTCCTTGGGCCCCGCTCCCTGGCTGGGAGGGAAGCTCCAGGGCCCAGGACTGTGTTTTGCGTAAGGCCAGGTCCCCTGGAACTGGCCTGAGGGACAGAGATGTTCTGGACGCATCTGCCGAGCGAGTGAATGACCGCATGTGTGTGGAAGATGAATGTATGAGTGCAGCGCTGTGCAGGAGTGAATGTGTGTGTGAATGTGCGTGAGTAAATGTGGGTGTGAATCTGCGTGAGTGAATGTGAATGTGTTTGAACATGAATGTGTGAATGAGTGTGAATGTGTGAATGAGTGGATGAATGTGAATGAGTGTGAATGTGAATGTGTGAATGAGTGTGAATGAATGAGTGAATAAATAAATGAGTGAATGTGTGAATGAGTGTGAATGAGTGTGAATGAATGAGTGAATAAATAAATGAGTGAATGTGTGAATGAGTGTGAATGAGTGAGTGTGAATGAGTGAATAAGTGAATGAATGAATGTGTGAATGAGTGTGAATGTGAATGTGAGTGAATGTGAATGAGTGAATGTGAGAGAATGAGTGAATGTGTGAATGAGTGTGAATGAGTGTGAATGAATGAGTGAATAAGTGAATGAGTCAATGTGTGAATGAGTGTGAATGTGAATGTGAGTGAATGAGTGTGAATGAGTGAATGTGAGTGAATGAGTGAATGTGTGAATGAGTGTGAATGAGTGAGTGAGTGAATGAATGAGTGAATAAGTGAATGAGTGAATGTGAATGAGTGTGAATGAGTGAATGTGAGTGAATGAGTGAATGTGTGAATGAGTGTGAATGAGTGAGTGAGTGTGAATGAAAGTGAATAAGTGAATGAATGAGTGAATGTGTGAGTGTGAATGTGAATGTGAGTGAATGAGTGTGAATGAATAAGTGTGAGTGAGTGAATGTGTGAATGAGAGTGAATGAGTGTGAATGTGAATGAGTGAATGTGTGAATGAGTGAATGTGTGAATGAGTGTGAATGAATGAGTGAATGTGTGAATGAGTGTGAATGAATGAGTGAATGAGTGTAAGTGTGAGAATGAGTGAATGAGTGAATGAGTGAGAATGAGTGAATGAGTGTGAGTGTGAATGAGTGAGAATGAGTGAGTGAATGAGTGTGAGTGAATGAGTGTGAGTGTGAATGAATGAATGAGTGTGAATGAGAATGAGTGAATGAGTGTGAATGAGTGAATGAGTGTGAATGTGTGAATGAGTGTGAGTGAATGAGTGTGAGTGTGAATGAATGAATGAGTGTGAATGAATGAGTGAACGAGTGTGAGTGTGAATGAGAGAATGAGTGAATGAGTGAATGAGTGAATGAGTGAGAATGAGTGAATGAGAATGAGTGAATGAGTGAATGAGTGTGAATGAGTGAATGAGTGTGAATGTGTGAATGAGTGTGAGTGAATGAGTGTGAGTGAGTGAATGAATGAATGAGTGTGAATGAATGAGTGAATGTGAGTGTGAATGAGTGAATGAGTGAGAATGAGTGAGTGAATGAGTGAGAATGAGTGAATGAGTGAATGAGTGAGAATGAGTGAATGAGTGAATGAGTGTGAATGAGTGTGAGTGTGAGTGAGTGTGAATGAGTGAATGAGTGTGAACGAGTGAATGGGTCCCCTGTGCGTCTGTGTTTCCTCCCCACCACCTGGCACCTTCGATGTTGCTGCCCGGGACGCTCTGTGGCTGGCCGGGGCAGAGGCAGGGCTGGTAGTGCCACGTGCAGTTGGCCTCCTCCGTGTGCTGGTACTCGCCGTGGCCGTCCTGCGTGTGGGTGTTGTAGAAGCCGCAGTAGATGGCTGGGAGGAAGGCAGCTGTCAGCTGGCGGGGTTCCCAGCCCCGGCCCTGACCCGGTGGTTCCCTGGGCGTGCGTGGAACCTGAGTGTGGGTGGGGAAGGCCTGGGCCCTCTTGGTGAAGCCTCCCCTGGGCAGCTGGGGGCTGGGGGAGGTCCAGGGTGGCCCTGCAGGGCACAGCCCGGCTCCTGTCCAGGGAGAGGGGCCTGTGGGCGAGAGCAGCCCTGCACCGGGCCTCAGTGGTGCTGGGTGGCTGGGCTCACAGCAGGCCGTGGGTGGTGCGGTCACTCACGGCAGAAGGCCGGGGTCCTCCAGTCCACACACACGCCCTTGTCCAGGCAGGCTTGGGCGTAGGCAGCCACGGCGTCGCACAGACACTCACAGTCCCCGCCACTGTCACACCCACACGCGTCGCGCACACAGGCCTCGTAGTAGGGCAGGTGGTACACCTGTGGGGTGTGTGCCCGACAGCGTCTGGCCAAGGGGGACGGCTGGGCACCAGGCTTTGCTGTCCGAGGGACCCTCGGTGTGGGGAGGCCAGAGTATGGTGGCAGGGGCACTGGCACTGGGTGAGCGGCACCACGTGGACCTCAGCCCTGACCCCGACCGCCAGCTGCCCTCCCAAAGCCGGAGCCACCACGAAGGCCGGACCTGAGCGTGTGTCCTGAGACCCCCCCATCGAACCAAGGTGCTGCTGACCACGGCCACCGCGGCCCCACCCAGGATCTCCGCGCCCCCCACACCACGCCCCTGTTCAGCAGCGAGGGCCAGGCTGTTCCGCTGCCAGGTGCCCCATCCTCTCAGTTCCTACTGCCCCGACCCCCAACCCCACCCTCCCCTCCCCCAGCTGCACACCGGGTCGGGAAGTGTGTTCTGACCACAAACTCCCGAGCAGGGGGCCCACCTGGCGACACTGCCCCAGGGGGCTCATGGCACTGTCTGGGGGTGCTACTTGCATTTGGTGGGCAGAGGCCGGGGGTGCTGCTAAACTGCCATGGTGTACACCTTGCTCCCCACATCAGGCCCCTGAGCTCGGGCAGAGCATCTGGAGCTCTATGCGCCCAGCCCTGGCAGGTCTGGGATCCCGTGGAGGGAGAACTGTGCCGCGCTTCCCCACCCTGAGCCAGGACAGGATCTGGTCCCCACTTCCGCCCCCGCTGGACATCTGTGGAGGGGCAGGCGTGCGGCCCACGCCCGGCGCCCACCTTGCTGTGGCAGGTGGCGAAGGTCTGGCTGTTGATGACGCTGCACTTTCGCTCGGCCCAGGAGCGCCGGAAGGCATTGAGGCTGCAGGGGTCCGCCACGAAGCTCACGTCCCCGCACAGCGGGCTCTCCTTCCACGAGTTCACGAACTCCAGCTCGCTGGATGCCACGTACCGGCTGCGCGTCTCGAAGTCGTCCTTCATGTTCCCGTTGAAGTTGCCACACAGGCCGCAGATGGTGTCCTGCAGGCAGCGGCGTCAGGCCGGGTCCCGGGCCTGCGGCATCGTCTCCACCCCTGTGTTGGGCCGGGTTGGGCCTGGGCGGGCGCCAAGCCCTGCGGTACCTGAGAGGCTCGGGTGATCCTGATGAGGACGGTCATGTGCCTGTTCCAGACGAGTGTCAGGTTGTACCTCCCGGGGACGCCGACATCCACAGCAAGGCTCAGCGCATCCGGCCTCACCCGGAGCTGCACGTGGGGCTCCTCCCCGGAGACTGTGTAGTTTCTGTCCGCCAGCACAACGGACAGGCCCTGTGGGGGACACGTCATGGGGCTGCCTGTGTCTGCTCTGTCCCCCCTGGACCAAGCTCGGAGGCAGAGCTGCCCGGGTCTGTTACGGCCACGCGTAAGGGTGCCTGCTGAGAGCCAGCTCGGGGCAGAAGGGAAACAGGGCTGAGGGCTGAAGCTCGGGCTTCCTGGAGAATCCCTCCCACCCTTCCCTGTGCCCGGGAGACACTCTGTGCCCCTGAAACCTGCTGGGAGACAAGATCGCTGGTCCTGAGTGTCTGGCCACGGAGGGGCAGCAGGCACCCCTCAAGGAGAGGCAGGTGGGGGGCTGCCCTTAGGGGCAGGGTCCAGCTTTGTGGCAGGGCCCCCAATGCCCCTCCTGCCCTGCCGGAGGCTGCCGGCCACTCACCCCCAGGAAGAGCTTGATGGCCCGAGAGCAGGTGACCCCAGCCTTCCCACAGACCACGTTCTCCGTCAGGATCTTGAAGGTGGGCTGGGAGTCGTTGGCACCACAGCCGTCCTGCAGGGAGAGGGCGCTGAGGCGGAGCCCTGGGGCCATGCTGTGCCCCTGGGTCCCCGGCCCCCTAGCCCGAGCCCGGTGGTTACCATGGCCAGGATGTACTCGCAGCTGCCGTCAAATACAAAGCGCTGGCCGTCGAAGGTGACGATGTGGCCCTCCCCGTAGAGGGTGCAGGTGGACGGGCAGTGGGTGGCCTGCTGGCAGGCCCACCTCCCCCTCGAGCAGGTGCTGTGGAGGCGGCAGGTGTGGGTGTGGGTGTGGTCACTGGAGAGGCCAGGCTGCACCTCTGGACGCCCCGCCTACGGGACAGCCAGCCCCACCCCGGACGGCCCTCCCTGCCCCACACGGCCCCAGGAGCCCAGAGTGTCCAGAGCAAGGCTGTGTCTCACCAGGTCCTGCAGTCGGTGTGGAGCTCAGCTCCCCCAGGGTAGGAGACCCCCGAGAACTCACACGGGCACTCCTCGGGGGGCACACACTGCCCATCGGCATTCTCATAGAGGCCCTTGGCGCAGACACAACCAGGCTCACACTTGGTAGGCACCTGCAGGGAGGCAGGTCAGCGGCCCCTGGGAGGGTGGCCTCAGCTGCCGTTGCCCAGCCCTGGGCCTCTCCAAGACCACCCGGCGTGCCTCCCAGGCCCTGTCCTCGAATACGACCTTGCTCTGCAGCGTTTGTGGGCAGCTGGGCTTCCTCCCTTAGCAAAGCTCCCCCACCTTGTGGAAGGTCCCAGGCCCCTGTACACACAGCTGGGCTGCTGTACCCACCTCCACAGTGGCAGTCCACCCTCCCCAAGCTGGCACCGGCCCACTGTCCACCAGCCTCCAGCCGCCTGGCCACGGGGCCACTCCTGCCTCCCCGCTGGCCCCAGGCACCCGCCACAGGGGCAGGGTGAGGCCAGGTCTCCCGGGTTTTGTGGAAACCCTCTCACGGCCCAGCTGGTCCGGGCGTTGGACCCCATCCTACGCGACCCTTACGCAGGCGACACCGGTGGCCAGCATCTGGCACGTGGGGGCACAGGCTGCCCCGAACACATTCTCAGAGGACTGGCTGCAGGACTCGAAGGTCTTGGGGGTTGGACAGGAGGCTGCGGGGAGAGGGGCCGGTCAGGACGCTCAGAGAAAGTGGGGCCCTTATGGTCCGAGCCTGCAGCCCGCGCTGCCTTACGTACCCAGAAACATCTGTGGCCGCTGTGGACAACTCAGCCGTCCATTGATGCAGTAGCTGTAAGAGAGAGGCTCCATGATCCCGAGGCCCGGCGGGGACCCCCGCCCACCCCACCCGGCCCCCCTCATGTCCCCGGCCCCTGCTCGCCCCTCACCAGGTGGCACCATTGATCACGGTGGCCTGCTGGGCCAGGATGAACTTGTAGCCCTCCAGCGTGCACGGGCACTGGGCCTTGTGCACACACTCGCCCTTGTGGTTCAGATAGGTGCCGTCGGGGCAGTTGCAGCCATCCACGGGCACCGCGCTGGCGTGGCACTCAGCAGTGCGGTCCGACAGCGACAGGCAGGTGCGCTCACAGACTCGGCTGTCATAGCTGAAGGTGCTGTTTCCCGTGCAGGGGACAGCTGTGGGGGACGCCCGCGTCAGACCCTCGGGGAGGAGGTGTCCGGGGTTCCGCTGTCTGCTTGGGGCCCCAGGACCCCCCGCCGTGACCCCTACCCGCTGTGACCCCGCTCCAGCCCCACTGGGTACTCACTGCAGTTCTCCACGCTGCTTCTCCAGCCCCAGAGCAGGACGCCTCGTGAGGCGCAGGCGTGTACGTAGTCGCCCAGGGCGGCGCAGATATGGGGGAAGGTCTCCTCATAGTTGCAGGCCTGATATACGCACCTCTGCGGGCAGAAAGCCAGCATGGGCTGGCAGCGGGCACCCTCCCCTGGGGACGTGGGGCCCCAAACCTCCCGCCAGGGCCAGGATGCCCCCAGGTGCCTGACTGTCAGCCACTGCAGCCTCTGCTGCGGCCACCCCGAAGCCCTCCCAGACGCCCTCAGGCCCTCACCTTGTAGAAGGGCGTGGGGTTCACCGTGGTGTGGCACCTCTCGAACACCGTGCCTGTCCTCAGCAGGACGGAGCAGTGGGTCTCCGCACACACCTCTGGGGACGACCGGCCGGGGCATGGGTCTCCACCCCTCCCCATTCCAGCCACAGCTCCTGCCCCCCACCCTGGTGGCTGGGTCTGTCAGAGCCATGGGGGCTGGGAGGGCAGCTGGGGGAGTGGGAGGCCAGACACTCACTGTTGAGCTGGCTCATGGAGCAGGGGTCAGTCTCACGCTCCAGAGCGGCCGGACAGTTCCCTGCCCGCCAGGAGTCCACGAACAGCGAGGCGGTGCCCTCGGGGATGCCCAGGCTGGTGGTGAAGTCGTCCGTCGTGTCCGCGTTGAAGTTGCCGCAGAGTCCTGAGGCGGCAGGCCGTGAGCACGCTTGAGTTGTCCCTCCTGCGCCCATTCCGGCCCCCACGCGCGGAGCTCCCAGCCCTCCACCAGCCTCGCCCTGGGTGAGCACCGGCGCGGGCCACACATGCCTGTTACCCCTGGGGCTCCCCGGACACAGACGCCGTGTGAGCCTCTCTGGCCAGGCCCCATAGGGACGAGGCACCAGGGCCACCCGGAGGGGCAGGGACTCACCTCTGGTCTGGCCTCTGAACTGGGGCCCGACAGTGATGTAAGCCTGGAAGATGGGGCGCAGCTGCACCACGAGCTCCAGCCCGAAGCTGGTGACCATTTGGAGGTGGGTGGACGTCTGCCTGAAGACCGTGATGTTGCCTGCGGAACGCAGCGCTCAGCAGCCACCTGGCCCTCCCCGCCCGCGGCGGCCCACCCCGGAGGCACAGCTCTGGGGGCAGGGGCTGGGCCGGGACCTACGAGTCCTGTACGGCAGCCACTTGGCGGCTCCGTTGTTGCTGACCACCTCGTCCTGAGAGATCACGATTTTGTCCTGGAGGGAAGGTGGCCTGGGTCAGGCTCGGGCACCAGGGAGCAGAGCCCTGCTGGCAGGGACGGGTGCGGGAGAGGCCTCACCTGCCTGGAGAGGTAGACGACAGCCACCAGGGAGGTCTCGGAGTGTGAGAAGCCGGACTTGTCGTACACAGCCATGAGGGTGCCATTTTCGGGAAGCTGGGGGCTCTGCGTGGGCAGGCGGGGGCTCAGCCACGGGTGGGGTCACTGGGGGTGCCCCTCCCCATGGGCCACAGGGCTACCTGGAGGAGGATGTAGGTGCAGGTACCGTGGAAGCGGTAGGGCCTGGCATCGAATGTGGTGACGAAGGAGCTGCCTTCCAGGGAGCAGTGGCCGGGGCACGGCCGCTCCGTGCACGCCCAGCGGCCCAGGGTGCACTGGCTGTGGGCGGGCGTGGGGGGAACCACGTGGTGGGCAGGGCCAGCCACTGGAGCCAGACAGCACCCCTTCCCCACCCTAGGCCAGTGGAACTCCTGCCAGCCTCCAGAGCCCCCTCCGCCGCCTTCCCCTCTGCTGCCTCCCCCCCACCACCTCACCAGGTTCGGCAGGCAGCTGTTGTGACCGCCCCAGGGGCGTACGTGGCGCCGTTGAGCACACAGGGGCACTGGGTGACGGGCACGCAGGTGTGGTTATTGGAGAGGTCGTTCAGGACCGTCCCTGCAGGAGAGGGGCTTCTTGGGGCTTGGTGGGACTGACGGCCTCCCACTCTCCCTGGCTCCGGGGAGACCCCCCAGCCTGTCCGTGGCGTCTCACTCCAGCTGCACTTGCCTTCACATCTCTGTGCCAGACACTGCGTGTGCCCAGCCCCTTGCACCAATGTGCCCAACCCGGGTTCCTGGTGAGTGGCGGCCCCCAGCAGGCAGAGACACATACCTGTCCCTTGGGCCCAGCTCAAACCCCACCTTCTCTCAGCGGCTCCCAGAATCCAGTGGGCGAGACCCCCCTGTGCGTGGTTTGCAGGGTGGCCGTGGCTGGGAGAGCTGCCAGCCGTAAGCATGGTGGGGGAGGGGGAGTGTGAGGGGAGGGGA